AGAGAAGACTGGTTAGCCACGTTACATCGCCACCAGCTGACAATGGGAAAATCCAGACCTTAGTGCCTTGCCTCAGGACATAGCTTTCAGTGGGGGAGCTGTCACCAGAACTCAGATCTCTGGATTCGGTCCCAAACCAAGAGTTCTGTGGAGTGTCCTGCGTCTGCCTAACATGAGGTAAGCACCCCAATTCCCATTCCTAGACACTGCCTCGGAGGATCCAAACTGTGAGTCCACGGTTATGGCCACTTGCACAGAGATCAAATCATCTTCCTCCCGCTTCCATTCTTCTGTGTTGTTCCTCTTTCATTCAAATATAAAGTATTAATCACTCTACAGGGTAACCATAAAAGCAGACTTTACAATCTTTCCAGGAATCAATGACGAAGCAAAAGCAATGCTTTCAACTACTGAATTTCCTGCTTATCCCTGAAATCAACAGTTGAGCAGCCAAAGGGATGGGAGTGGAGGAGTGAGACCTAGAAAGGTCAGGTTGGAACCACACACACACACACACACACACACACACACACACATATGGGGCGTTCCAGATACCCAGTAGACATCAAGCCAGTTTGAAGGGTTAATCAGAAGACAGATGTTCAGAATTCAAAGTCTCTGCTGTTTTATAAGCATTTGATGAGAATGAATAATTTTCCTGTTAACTGGTAAGGCTGAATCAGAAAAGAGTTCAGCCTAAACATCACCAGGGACTTCCTTGGAAACTGAGATGAGCAAATAAGGCATAGTTCTTTGAGACAAGAACTTGGAAGTTATTTCCCTCAGTTGGGCAGGGCAAGTTCACGGCCCCCAGCACACCCGCTCCGCCAGCCTTTCTATACTTGCCCCCTCCTTCCGTCCCTCATCTCTTCCTGCGAAATCAAATAGCCAGATTAGGAGGAGATAAAGTGTGGGTCTAGGTGAGCCAGGATGGGGGAAGGTGGGAGGTGGGAGGTGGGTGGAGGTTAGGGGAGGGTGCGGACAAGCGGCAAGGCAGACTAGGAAAGCGGAAGGCAGAGAGATTCTGAAGAAAAGGAGACTCCAGAGATAACTGGAGCTCTCCCTGCTGGAAAAAGGAAAACTAAATTAAAAGTTATAGAACTTTCTAAAACCAGCTCTATCTATGGGAATTCTCTCTCTGAAGAGAGGAGCCGTACACCTCCCAGATAAGATTCCTCAAGTTCCCCAGAGTCAGAGGGTTCGGAGGGGCCTCGGGCAGGCTCCGCCTGGAGGGCATTCCTGCGTCCGCTCCATTTAGAATACTCCAGCGCGCACCGCCTGCGCTCGGGGTCTGCTGCGCCCGGGGAGCCCTGCGGTGCCAGGCCCCGGTCCTAGCCGGCAGCCTGGTCGCAGCCCCTCGAATAACGCCGCCAGCGCCGAGACGACCTTACCTGGGCTGGGCAGGGCTCCTCGGTCGAAGAATGGAAGCCCTGGACGGCTCCATTGAGAGGCGTCTGCTCGTCTGGCTGCCCTTGGAGCGCCGAGAGCTCCAGCTCATCTCCTGGCGATGGGGGCCTGGCCCCCTCCATGGACGAGTGGAGGAGGACTGAACAGCCCGCCAGGAAGCAGGACGCACACACCCGAGGGTGCAGAGTCCAAAGTGGCCTTGCAGGTGGCTCACACTCCACCCCGGCGGGCGGGGCGGGGAGACCTCAGGCTGCGGCCGGGGCGGGCGGGGGGCGGGTCCTCGGGCCCCGGACGCGCCCCGGACGCGCCCCTCGCTCCTGCCCCGCGCCGCCTCGGTGTCTTGCTAGGAGCAGAGCCAAGGAGGGCTGTTTTTCTGGTTTGTTCAGGGCGCTGTCTGCCTTTTTCTGTTGGTACAGATACAAAGCAGAAGCTGACTGGGGACCGGAGTGGGCGGCGGGTTGTGGCCTGGATGGGCCCGTAGCGCCTTGCCACGGAAAAGTTTGGCGTTCCAGGCACCCCAGGAGCTCTCTGTTACCAGGGCTTGCCCCGGCTTTCGCTGCCTGGCAAAAGTTCATTCAGTTAATCAACATATGGCTATGAACATATAACTTTCCCCTGCATGCCAGGCATCCTGCAGGATTCTGAGCACACCAGAAAATATGCAGGTGAATAATACACAGGAACACACTTCTTCCTCCTGTAAGTCCGGAGTCATGCAAAGAAAGAGTAAAGAGGCGTGGAGCGGACAGTAGGCTCAGGAATCAGGCTGCCCAGGTTAATCCCCTCACAGGGTTCCTAACGGTGAGACCTGCGTCAGAGTTCCCTCATGTGGGAAATTGGCATAATGTTAGTACCCACCTAGTTAAGATGTGGCTAGGATTTAAAGAGTTGGCATCAGCGAAGTACTCAGACACTAACAATCATGCATAAGCATTTATTATATTATCTACCTTAGGGAAGAGGAGTCACAGACACCCCACCCCCACCCCCAGCAAATACACACACACACACACACACACACACACACACCCTGAGGAAAAAGTATATGCACCCAGCCACAATCCACAATCCATAGTTCACAACTTCCAGTCTCATGAGCCTGAAATTGTTTGCTAAGCAGGTGTGTGTTGACCCTCTCAAGCGTCTGTTCAGAGCAGGCTTGCTTCCTTATTTCTCATCCCTGCCCCCAACAATTACACATATTGAGATGAGTTTGAGGTGTGGACGGGATATACATAAATCAACTTCATTTCAGAAGATGTTGACTTGTGTTCAAAAGTCTGGCATCCTCGAAACCTGCTGTTCAGTCTCTGTCTACATACCAGAGTTGTCTCTTGCTTGCTACCAGATCATCTGGGTTTTGGACTCCATCTGCCCACCCGATGGGGTCATGCTCACTGCAGCCACTCAGCTGCTAGCCTGCTCAGACTTCTGCTTTCTCTGCTTTGAAAGGCCGATCCTGTAGGACTCAGGTTGTATTCTTAGCTGGGATTTTGTAACAGAATTTTAAATCAAGGAGCAAGGGTTACTGAAATCAAGAAGGGGCTCTGAGACACCCAGAGACTAACAACAGTCGAAAGCCTTCAGTACCCTGAGACCTAAAAAGGGACTGGAGCCTGATTAAGGACTGGAGCCATCAAGGAGGGCCTCCAGATAGGATCTGTAGGCACAGAAGTTTGCAGCCACTGTTAGGACTGGGATCCAGAAGGGAGGAATCCAAGAGAAAAAGTACTCTGAGCTTTCTCTCCACCTGCCAGTGTCCTGATGGTAACTCCCACTGAAAACTGGTGACAGAAGTTGGGGTTCAGCCTCCCAGGCTCAGAGCAGAGAGTAAATCTGCAGTGCAAAGAAAGAGGAACCTGCATGTACACCTTTCTCTACAATAACTGACTTTTGATCTTCCTTCTCAGACATTCAGTAGTCAGTAGACTCCTCTGGTCTGACCAGATTCCTCTTCCTGGCTGGCCCCTTCCTGTCCAATTCTGTTGCCACCCCCACTTCTTTGTATATGATGTTCCTTCTGCTCAGAATGCTTTTCCTCCCACTCCAGCTCACTTTCTGCATGGATAACTTTCGTCCATCTTTAAATCCTAGCTGAAGCATACTTTTTCCATTAAACCTTCCCGGACTCCTCCTCCACCGAAAGTCATCCACATTCTTCTTTGTTACCAACACACATTGTTCCTGTCCTAATTACATCACATATTCAGTTCAATTTCATTCCACAAGAAGTACTGAATGCTTGCTACAGTCTTCTGGATACTTGAGCCACGTCTGAAGAATATGAAGCAGAATAAAACAAAATCACTGCCATTGTGAGGCTAGTATTTAATGAGGGGAAGCGAACTTAATAAATAACATTTCTAGAATATTAGACGGTGACGTGTGCTATGGAAAAAACAAGGTAAAGCAGAGTAAGGGAGGCTGGAGTGCTGATTGGTGCAGGTTGGAAGTTGTCATTATAAAGAGGGTGATCGACCTATGAAAACAATTTCATTATTTTGGGTCCTGTGAAAACCAGATTTACTATTTTGGGCCCCACTTGAAAATAGAATTACTATTACTTTTTTGACTTTGTCCCAGCGAGAAGAATAATATCATTCTTCTTTCTGCTGTTCTTACCTATTTGGTGATATTATTAAGTCTGGCCTCTGTTAACGAAAAGATTATTCTGAGATTAAATGTGGAAACACTCTAAATCGAGATAAAAGAAACCAGTAACTCTGATGTAGGGAGCATGTACCACAGGTTTACACCTCTGCTAGGTATCACAAGGCTCTGAAAATAAAAGAAAGTCTTGGCCGTTGAAGTTTTATAGAAGGATCAGAAGTCAGACGATGATATTTCTGAAATTTTTCACTTTCAAAACAATCATCCAAAAAGTCTTTAAACTGCTGACCAGCATTACCACAATTTTCTTAAATCCCATGTACGTATTTTCAATCCAACTACCATGATGCTTCAGTCTATTATTTTAGTGAAGATTATTGTCAGTTTTGTTGACTGATAGTTTCTCTGCACACAATATTACCATTTTTCTCTGAAGAAAAATGCCCTGTATGTTAGACAAACTGGATTGGAAAGTAACAATAGAGGTACTTTCTCTGTCAATACTGAGTTTAACGTAATTTGCATTTGTGAAGGAGTCATTTTCATGCAATTAACTTCATTAGAATACTGAAGATCAGGCATGGGTTTTTTAATGGAACTTACTTCAATAAGTCAGATTTGCCTAGATCTTTATAAATATCTGCACCTTGAATAGGAACATAAATTAAACTATGGATTCCTGAGCATCTCACTCACTTCTTACTTTGGAGACTTGGTTGATGACATTACTTCAGTTTTCTTCCATTCTTTAATTAATGGCCCTCTGATGCTTAATAATGAATACAGTTGTAACCTTGAGGTAATATTCCATGGAATAAAATACATATTAATCTTTCTGTCTTTCAATAAATACCAAATGCATGCAATCTGAAATTTTCAGAAGAAAAAAAAATTGTGTCCCATTTTATTGATAATTACTGCATTTTTTTGAAAGAATCTATCACATAAAACACAGTCAAAAATCAAACTTGTGCAGTTACAAAAGAGAAGGGACATATTTATGAATCCAGGGAACAAATTTTGACACCCTTGTGTAAACACCAGGAAAGTTTGGTCTTCCACAGCCATGTCCCCAGCTAACAATGCCAGTCAAAATCCATTTTCCATCACTTTTTCTTCGACAAGATAAAGGTCCGCCCGAATCTCCCTACACAAGAAGATAAATAATGTCAGTATAAAGTATGCTTGTCCTGTGATCATCAACTTGTCATTAAGTGTTTAATAAATTGTGTTCAGACTCCCACCCTGACAGGTTTTTGCTCGACTAACTACTATGCAGTTTGGGGAAGCGTCAAGAAATAATGTGAAACTTCTAATGCCATTTTAGAATTATTTTTCCTATCATCAAAAAGACGCATTCATGGTTAAGAAACTTGATCCTTTAGGCCAAGAATAACATTAGAAGATTCTTGCAGGGGAAACGACACTCACATACCTGCAAATGAACAACAAACCTCAACAGTAGTAGCAGTAACGATAATAAGAGCTAAAGCTTACTTAGTGCTGCTATGTGCTAAGCACGGTTTTGGGTCATTTAATCCTCACAATAACCTTGCAAGGCATGGTTATCTTGGGGGTAGGTTGACCTCTACCTCTGCCCATGTGTTGCCTCACGCATGGCCCTGAGGAAGAAAGGAAAGGAGACCCTGTTTAGTTGGTCAAGTCCAATGAGGCACGTCTGAGCATCACTGGCTGACGGTTGTCACAGGCAGATCACCCTCACTTGAGAGTCCTTTCTGATATCTCAACTCTAAAAGCAAAGGCTGAAAAAATTCAGTATTTAAACTGAATTCCTACTGTGTTGATTGTTTAAATTACAATATCTGGGTTTTCATTTTCTTACATTGGAGGATAGCTAAAGCTGTAGCTTACTCAGAAAGTGTTTCAAATTGGCCCCTGAATTCTACAATTCTAAACCTGATTAGGTAAATTCTAACTCGTAGAGAGACTGGGGTCTTTTAATTTTAACCGTTGCCACACCAACTCTTCTTATTTAACCTGTAAACCCTGCTGGGTGTGTGGAACAGGACTATATAACTGACTAGCTGCAGGAAACATTCAAAATATCGTAGCTTTAACTTTAGAGAGATAAGGGTTCAAATCCCAGCTCAACAGACTGTGCGACCTTGGGTAATTTACTTCTCTCTGTGCCCTAGCTTCCTCTTCTGTAAAATAGGGATAAAAGAATAATTTGAATGTAGGTAAAGGACCTAGCATGGCGCTTGTCAGAAGATAGAGGTCATAATTATAAGGTGAATGTTTGTGGCCCAGTGCCGAAGGTTACGGAAAGAGGTGGGAACAGCTCCCACTGCCCCTGCCCTCCTCATCTTCTAAATTATCTGTTCACATTTTGGCAAGCAAATAGATATCTGCATAGATTGGAATCTGAGGCTCATAAAAATGTCCCCCTAAAAGTGACCTTCAAATTTACCACCGTCAGATGCATAAAAATAAGAGTTCCTGTCACTTCTCCCATTCCTCTTTCCTTTCCCCCAGCCTATGCATCAAAGAGTAAGTGAATACAACACTTCTTACTTTAGAAGGTAAATAGCCACTGTTAAGGAAATAGGTAGCAATCCTAAAACACTGTGTGTGTGTGTGTATGTGTTTTTCTTTATTTTTCAGGTTTGGTTATAAGAAAATCATGGCAAAATGATAAATGCTTACTTCACTCTCTAATTGTTGGAGTAATATACATAGGGACAGGAAAACAAGTGTTTTAGATCCAATTACTATTTAACCACATTTCCCGGATCTTAGGCAGTGGGATTATAATTAATATCTGAATTAAAGGAAGCACCTGCCCTAGGCACTGCCCAGTGTAGATTAAATAGGAAAGCATTTATGGAAAGTACCACCTGTCAGGCAAGGAAAATTAAGATGACTTACTCTGCAGGCGTCTCTCTTGCCTGACAGGACTCCTGCACAGAGCATCCTTGAAGTGATGATCCCATAGGTGGAAACACAGAGGGTTTGGTCAATGAGCTCTACCTCTGCTTGCTGCAAAACAAGGGAGCCTTTATTGTCTGGAAAACACAGAGAAGTAGAAATCGTGGCAATGATTACATTTACTTTATTAGACAATTTACTCATATTATTTCCTTGTACCTTCACAATTTTTTAAGGTAAATTCTATCATGATCCCCATTTTTCTGATGAAGAAATGGAGGCTTAGGAGGATAAAGGACTTATCTAATGGCACACGACCAGCAATTAACAGAGCAGGATTCAGACCCAAGGTGTGACTCAGCCTTCCTAGCCACTGTGCCATATTCCTTCACCACGTACCTCCCGCTCTCAGTAGGACTGTGAGTCAGCAACAGTTATTACTGATACTCACTGGTCAAAAGGGCCCCTTAAGTGGAGCATTATAACTGACAGATGGGAATCCCCTAGGAACCATAAAAACATAATATTTTGGATATAGCCCTCTCACTTCCTTTTTAACCTGTCTGGCTAAGATGATTCAGAAAAATCAACTCTCACACACTCATGCCTGTAAACAAAATGTCCCATGATAAACTGGTTGAGTAGATTCTTTTCTTTTATAATATATGATAATGTCATTAAAGCCCCGAGCCCAGTCCTGTTATGTTACGAATGGTGTTATATATAATTGAGTAGTTTTGCTGCCTTCCCTTGTTGGGACCCATGACCTCAGCAGGTCCAGACAGGTGGTAAATTTCATGACTTCGATAACTAACTGGAGGCAGTGAGCACTTGAGATGCTACCCATGGTGAATCTTTAGAGAGTGTCAAAGCGAGGCTAAGGGGAAGGTCAAGAGTTACAGAAAATGTATCTGTCCTAAACCCTTGGAAATGACTGTGAGGGAATCTCAGGTGACTGGGAGATCAAGGGAAAGCATTGGCACTCATCTTCGGGGAGATGTCCACAAGGTTTTGGATTCTTCTTCTCACTGTATGTTTAGCATCCTAGACATTAAAACCTTGGCAGGGCAGATATAGAGACTTCCCTACCATACAGTCTGACCTTTGTGCATATGAAAAAGATGCCCCCTTCTGGGTGGACCACTTCTAGGCTGATAAAAACCCCAGGCCTGAATTTGCAGTCTGGGGCGCTAAGGGCAGGCTGGATTTCGGCCCTCACTCTTATTTACGTGGCAGTTGCCCTTCTGAAGGACGTATTTGCATAATCCTCCACACAATATTCTATGGGTTGACACAGTCAGACGTGTGAGTGTGTGTGTGTGAGAGAGAGGGAGGGTATCCTACTCTTCTTTATGAAAATGAGTCTCTTTTTTTTGGATGCAAGGAAACCTAAAAATAAGAAGGAATTGCTCTTCCATAGTGAAAACCCTAGCGAACCCCTCAGAGTTTGAAAAGGACCCATACTATCTATCCAATCCTGCCTTGCTCGTAAGAAGTGGGTCCCACTTCTTTTTTGGGTCACGGGGAGAATCACGAAACAGGAATTATAATACTCTCCTCCACTCTACCTCTCAGAGTTGTTAGAAGGTTGAGATGAGACCATATACGAAACTCCTCTCCATGAAGCCCGAAGCACTACATCAACAGCTATCAGTGTTATCTGGAGGGGAAGGGCATGGCCATTCACGGAGACACACACCTGCCTCGTGCCTCCGCCCCCAGCCGGTCACCCAGCACTTCTCTCCGCCTCGCACTTTCTGGCCAGTGGGAGGAATGCATATCGGCTGAATGAGCTGTTTCAGGGTCTCGGGCCAGGCGGTACTGAGCTGCAGCAAGGCAATATCGTAGTCAAAGGTCTGGCTGTTATAGTACTCGTGGACCACAATTCTTCTCACTGGGGAGACGAACTTGGCAGTCCCCTGCACATACATCCCAAGGTGTGCGGTCCACGGTGTGGGGTCAGACAGCCTGGCACAAAAGGAATGAAGAACGAAGTCAGAGGTGGAAGAACCATACAGAGTTTGGAAACAGAGGGATGAGGGCTGTGGAGAGGGCGGTCTGACTTTCAGTCCCTATTGCAGTCGCTGGCTCTGCCCTGTGGATACAGCAAGAGTCACACTGTCTCAGAGCCTCCCCTGTCGCCTTAGTAAACTAGAGATGAAGTAATGTGTAGTCAGCTGGTGAACAATAGCTATGTTCCAGAAAATGTTCTCAATGGCATCCTAAGGACACGCTGAAAATTTCCTTGCCACTGTTATTTCATGAACCACATACGGGTCAAGACTGTTAGTCAAGGAATTAATTTGTTTCATTGTCCCTATTCATGCTGACAGTGGTATTTGATGGAGACAGACAGGGCCAGTGAGTCAGTGGTTTAGGGATCCTTTTACGAAATTCAAATGACACCAATACCAAGACAGATTAAAAATCAGTGCTACAAGCAGGAATTTAATGAAATTGCTTCCTGCAAACTGCCAGAAGCCTTAAAGATTACTCTGCTCTAACTGCTCAAGCTTGACCATTCATAGGGCCCCACCTCTATTAGTCCTTCCAGAATTCTAATCCTGACCCCAGTGGCTTTGCATGAAGTCACTGAAGGGCTTGTAATCTCCATCTGAGGTTCCATCTCCATCAGCGCAGCAACCTTGCTCTGGTGGGGTGAAGAGAATGTGGAAACTTTGGGAGAAAAATGAGGACAGATCCCAAAGAGCGTGGCCCCTAATCTGCTTAGCTGACATCTCACAGGCAGCACTGGGGACCCGGGGACATACTAAGGGTCACATATTACTCAGAGCAGTTTCACTGCATGAAAGACTAAAGGTGGAACAGAAATGTAGCCATTTTAGTCATTAACATGAATCCTATCATCTCCAGGAGAAACAAATATCCTAATTGAATAAATTCATGGAAATACTCCACTTAAAAGAATGCCAAATGAGAAATGAATGATATATTTGTGTACCTAAGATACAACAGATTCCAAATAAGTTTACCTTTTAATTCAAGTTGTTTTCTGAACTTTCTTTTCACCCTTATCTGGGAGACTGTCTGCCCCATAATAATCCCACTGGTAAAGGTAGACAGAGCCGTTCCAGGAGTGACCCTAACAGACTTTTGCATGACTTCTCCTCTGTGATACTGTGGTTCATAACAAGAAATACATATGCGGTCTACTTTCCATTTCTGGCACAGAGCTCCTAAAACCCTTGGAATTTTGTAAGTGATGTGAGGGACCAAATGTCTTTTGTTACATTAATGAGGTTACTTTGGGCCAGCAACTAAGACTCGGGGCTGGTCACCAGGAGAACCAACCAAGTGATTGGAGTGCTAGAACTTTCAGTCCTACCTCCTGACCTCTGGGGAGGATGGAGAGTCTAGAGGTGGAATTCATGGCTAATGACCAATGATTTAATTAATCATGCCTATGTAAGCCTCCAAAAGAGCCAAGAAGGAGAGGATTTGGAAAGCTTCCGGGTTAGTGAATGCATGGAGATTCAGGGAGAGCGATACACCCCAAGAAGGCAGGGAAACCCTGCCCGCTTCCCCCATACCTCACGCTACGCATGTCTTCCATCTGACTGCTCCTGAGTTATTTCCTCGTATAATAAAATGTGTCTGTGAGCTGCTCTAGCAAATTGATCAACCACCAGGAGTGGGTCATGGGAACCTCTGCTCTATAGTTAGTCAGTCTGAAGTACAGGTGACAACTTCGACTTTCGATTGGTGTCTGAAGTTGGGGGGTGGGGGTAGTCTTGCAGGACTGGGCCCCTAAACTGTTTAATCTGATGCTGTCTCTGTGTCGAGAAAGGCAGAATTGAGTTGAATTGTCGGACACCCAGCTAGTGTCAGAGAACAGCTTGGAGAGGGGTGTGGGCGCCCTTCCCACCAGCACATTGGAAATTGGGAAGCCGAGCATTACCTCCAACTCTAAATAAGGATCCCTGGACTCCAGTCCTCCTCCAGGGCCCATTTCCCACGCAGTCCCACACTCCACATTCCTCACACATTCGCACAGAATTCCTTCTGACTTGAAAGCCCTATCCTATTTTCTTAGCCTCATAAAAGCCTATTCATTCTTGATGTTCCTTTGTGTTCTTCTATTTATATCAATAATACCTAAAAAAAAATGTTTGGCATACAACTGGTGTCACAATAAAAACAAAACAAAACAAAAACACCAACAGAACTGATTAAACAATTCCAACAGGGAATTTCTTCCCACAGTGTGAGGGCATTTGTATGGTCTGTGGTCAGAGACTGTGCCCCTTTAGAGTAAGGATTGAGATGCCCCACCTGTTTCCATGGAAACAGTGGGCAGCGGAGAGAAGCCACTCCCTGGAGATGACTGAGGCCCCGCAGTAGGCAGATCCGACAAAGTGGAGGCTGACTTGCCAAGGCCAACCCCCTTCTTGGGTGTCGATGCCCCCAATGATGCGGTGGAGGGTGGAGGAACTCCTGCTGCAGCCTTTAGGAGAGGAAGGGTCACATGATTTAAAGGCAGACTTGGAAGAAAAACTGGAAATACAGTCAACTTTTGAGCTATTGGGAACTGACTAACCAGGTAGGCAACTTGAAATCCCCTGCTTATCTGGAAAGGCAGTTTGTGGGTTCATCTAAAACCAGCACCAACAAACCACTCCCTCCCTCCCGAAAATAGGCCTTGACACAGAGTTACTGACTCCTCACAATAACACACACAAAAGGAGGAGGGGACCTATTAGGAACAGCTGTACTGGCGGGGACAGCACACGTGGGGTTCAGGTTGTTAGGTAGAGAAAAAATTAGTTTCAAATGCAACAGAATTGAAAGTGTCATTGAAATTGTGCTGATTGGAGGGAAAGCATTTGGGAGGAAATTTGCAAGTCCAAAACAAATGAAAACCTAGTTAAGAAAAACTAGCTAAGAAACACTGGTTATCAGAGCAATTACTTTCCAGTATAAATAGTATTGATAAGGATGTATAATTAACATGTTGTCACATGGCCAGTTAGAGATCACACAACTAATAATAAAAGAAAGCACGTTGGAGTTCTCAGGTCATAGCTAAAAAAAGAACCAGATCTGTGGTTAAGAGGGTGCAGTAGTGAGACCAAGAGCTCGCCTCCTCTCACAATGACAACAAAACCACAACTGACTACTAAACAATCATCGATAAAAAAAGACTATAACCTGAAAAAATAGATCTTATTCAACTGGAAACATAAAGAGGGAACCACAGCAGGATGATAGGAGGGGTGTGTTCACGATATAAATGGGCCCTATAACCCCTGGGTGAGTGACCCACAATCTGGAGAATAATTAAATTGCAGAGGCCCTCCCATAGAAGTGAGAGTTGTGAGCCCCACCTCAGGCTCCCCAGCTCAGGGCTCTAGCATTTGGAGGAAGAGACCGCAAAACATCTGGTTTTGAAGGCCAGTGGGGCTTAACTCCAGGAGCTCCACAGGACTTGGGGGAAACAGACACATCACTCTCTTGGGAAGAGTACACAGAATATCGCTTGGACTGAGGCCCAGGGCAGAGCCCTTCTAGTAGTGACCTTAACAGGGTCAAAGGACCTGACTCCAAAAACCACAAGACACTGAAGAAAGACATTGAAAATGACACAAGCAGATGGAATGAAATGCCACGTTCTTGGGTTGGAAGAATCAATATTGTTAAAATGGCCATACTACCCAAGGCAATATACAGATTCAATGCAATGCCTATAAAATAACCAATGACATTTTCAGAGAACTGGAGCAAAAAATATTAAAATTTGCAGGGTAACACAAAAGACCCCGAATAGACAAAACAATCTTGAGAAACAAGAATGGAGCTGGGGAATTATGCTCCATGACTTTAGACCATGCTACAAAACTACAGTAATCAAAACAGTATGGTACTGGCACAAAAAGAGACACACAGATCAATGGAACAGGATAGAAAGTCTAAAAGTAAATTCACACACTTATAATCAATTAACCTATAATAAAGGAGGCAAGAATATACAATGGAGAAAAGACAGTCTCTTCAATAAATGTTGCTGGGAAAGCAAGACAGCTACTTGCAAAAGAATGAAATTAGAACATTCTCTAACACCATATACAAAAATAAACTCATACTAATGGATTAACATACTAAATGTAAGACTGGATACTATAAAACTAGAGGAAAACATAGGCAGAACACTGTTTGACATAAATCACAGCAATATTTTTTTTCAGACGAGCTCCTAGAGTAATGGAAATAAAAGCAAAAATAAACAAATACGACACAATTAAAGTTAAAAAGCTTTTGCACAGCTAAAGATACCATTAACAAAATAAAAAGACAACTTACAGAATGGGAGAAAATATTTGCAAATGATGCAACTGACAAGGGACTAATTTCCAAAATATACAAACAGCTCATGTAGCTCAACATAAAAAACCCCAAACAACCTAATCAAAAAATGGGTAGAAGACCTAAATAGACATTTCTCCAAAGAAGACATCCAGATGGCCAGCAGGCACATAAAAGGATGCTCATTGTTGCTATTTATTAGAGAATTGCGAATCAAAACTACAATGATGTATCACCTCACACCAGTCAGAATGGCCATCACTAAAAAGTCTTCAAATAATAAATGCTGAAGAGGGTGTGAAGTAAAAGAACCCTCTTACACTGTTGGTGTGAATGTAAATTGATGCAGCCACTATGGAGGACAGTAAGAAGGATCCTTAAAAAATTAAAAATATACTCTCCATATGATCCAGCAATCACACTCCTGGGCATACATCCAGAGAAACTATAACTGGAAAAGACACATGCACCCCAATGTTCACAGCAGCCCTATTTACAATAGCCAAGACATGTAAACAACCTAAATGTCCATCACCAGATGAATGATAAAGATGTGGTATCTATCTATCTATCTATCTATCTATCTATCTATCTATCTATATTTGTCTCTCTCTCTCTCTCTCTCTATATATATATATAAATAATGGACTCTTACTGAGCCATACAAAAGAATAAGCAATGCCATTTGCAGCAACATGGATGGGCCCAGAGACTATCATATTAAGTGAAGTAAGCCAGGCAGAGAAAGGATACTATTATATGATGTCACTTACATGTGGAATTTTTAAAAATGACACAAATTTTATTTGTAAACCAGAAATAGATTGATAGATACAGAAAAAAAAACACTGGTTATAAAAAGGAAAGGGGAGAGGGATAGATTAGGAGTTTGGGATTAACAGATACACATTATTATATATCAACTAGATAAACAATAAGGACCTACTGTATAGCACAAGGAACTATATTCAATTTCTTGTAATAAGCTGTAATGGAAAAGAAACTGAAAAAATGTATATGTATAACTGAATTGCTTTGCTGTATACCTGAAACTAACATTGTAAATCGATTAAACTTCAATAAAAATTAAGAAGTAAAAATAAGACAGAGAAATAAAATAAGAAATAAAATAAGACAGAGTGGCTGAGTGAATGAAAAGAAAAGCCCATATATATGCTACTTACAAGAAACTCACATCAGATCTAAAAATACACTAGCCGGAGGGTACAGGGATGGAAAAGGTATTCCACACAAATGGAAATCAAAAGAAAGCGGGGGAAGTGATACTTATATCGGACAAAATAGGCTTTGAAACAAAGATGTAACAAGACACAAAGAAGGACATTACACATCGATAAAGGGATCAATCCAACAGGAACATGTAACAATTGCAAACACATATACACTCAACCTAGGAGCACCTAAATATATAAAGGAAATAGTAACATACATAAAGGGAGAAATTTGCACTGATACAATAACAGTAAGGGACAATATCACCCCACTTACATCAATGGACAGATCGTCCAGACAGAAAAATAGTAATGATATAGTGGCCTTAAAAAACACTTTAGACCAAGTGAACTTAGTAGATCTATATAGAACATTCCATCCAAAAGAGCAGAATACATATTCTTTTCAAGTGCACATGGAACATTCTCCAAGACAGATCACATGCTAATTCATAGAAGAATTCAAGTCGCAGTAAGTCTAAGAAGATTGAAATCAAATGAAGCATTTTTTTCTAACCCTCAGGCTATTAGACAAAAAAAAAACTCTAAGAAAAAAATTGCGTAAAACACAAACACATGGAAGCTAAACAATATGCTACTAAATAGCCAATGAATCATTAAATCACAAAGAAGAAATTTTAAAAAACACCTGGAGACAAATGAAAACACAATGATACAAAATATATGGGACACAGCCAAAGCTTTCTGCGAGACGAGTTCAAATGATACAAGTCTACCTCAGGGAACAAGAAAAATCTCAAATAACAATCTGATCTTACACTTAATGGAACTAGAAAATTAAGAACAAACAAGACCTAAAGTTAACAGAGGGAAAGAAGTCATAAAGATCAGAGCAGAAATACATGAAATAGACTTAAAAAATAGAAAAGATCAATGAAACTCATTGCTGGTTCTTTGAAACGATAAACAAAATTGATAAACCTTTAGTCAGACACATCAAGAAGAAAAGAGAGGTGTTCCAAATAAATAAAATTGGAAATGAAAGAGAAGTTATGACTGACACCACAGAAATACAAAGAATCATAAGAGACTACTACGA